AAAATTTAAGTGCACGTACAGTGCTCATTTTTTCATCTTTAGGAAGCCTGAATTCCTGAGCAAATTTTCTCCGCGTCAAGAGTACTCTAACAATTTTCTTCCAAGTGCATTGTTTTCATTGTGAATTTAGGCCATCATCTTAAAGATAACAAATGCATTAATCTTTTCTTTTATCATGAACTATTTTGACCAGTTTCATACTACAAAGAGTAAAAGAGAATGGAAAATACCTTGGGAATCCAGTAGAGAATCATGAAATAAATATAAGTAAAACTATTTGTTTTTGGTTTTATCATATTAATATAAAAAAATTATTTCAACTTTGTACTGAGCAAACTTTATACTTAATTCTGCTATTCATTCTGACCCTTATATTCAGTACCAAAGTCCTAAAACATAAAATTTCACCCCATCTACTACTCCTTCACTTCACTTTTCCCTCTACCATGCTTCCTTCGTTTCCCCAAAGTTTCATCCTTCCTGCTTTTAAATTTTATCAAAAATACTAATCTGTTTGTGTATTTTTTAAAACTTTTACATAACATAAAATTTGCTAGCTTAACCACTTTAAAGTGTACAGTTTAGTGGTATTAAATACATGCACCTTGCTTTGCATCAATCACCACTGGCCCTCTCCATCGTCTTCCATCCTGCAAAACTAAAACTCTACGTCCTTTGACTAGTAACTCCCTGTTCCCCGCCCCTGCCAGCCTCTGGCAACCACCATTCCATGTTCTGTCTATGAATTTAACTACTCTGCGTACTGTGTGATTTGGAATCAGACAGTATCTGTCCTTTTGTGTCTGGCTTATTTCACTGAGTACAATGTCCTCAGGGTTCGTCCATGTTGCAGCACAGGTCAGAATTTGGTCAGAATTTCTTTTTCAAGGCTGAATAAATAATATTCCTTGAGAGGTATACACCACATTTTGTTTATCTACTTATCCATCAATGGACATTTGGGCTGCTTCCACTTCTTAGCTATTTGGAACAATGCTGCTTAACAATGGGTCTGCAAATGTCTCTTCAAGACCCTGATTCTGATTCTTTGGGGGTAAATACCCAGCAGTGGTATGGCTGGATCATATGGGAATTCCACTTCTAATTTTTGAGGAACCACCAAACTGTAAACTGTCTTCCCAGCAACGCCACCATTTAACACTCCAACCAATAGCTACATGGGGACTCCAATGTCTCCACAGCCTCACCAACTCTTACTATATTTTGTGTTGTTTTTTTATCATAGCCATCTTAAGAACTGCGAGTTGGTGTCCAATCGTGGTTATGATCTGCATTTCCCTAATGATTACTGATGCTGAGCATATGTCCATGTGCTTACTGGTCATCTCTATATCTTCTTTGGAGAAATGTTTATTAAAGTTCTTTGCCCATTTTAAAATCAGGTTGGTTTTTTGGTTTTATTGCTGTTGAGTTACTGGAGTTCTTTGTATATTCTGAATAATAACCCCTTGTCAGGTACACGCAAATATCTTCTCCCAATCTGTGGAATACCTTTTCACTCTGTTGGCTGTGGACCTTTGATGCACCAGTTCTGTTTTGTTGTGGTTTTTTTTTTTTTAAGATTATTTATTTATTTGAGAGAGAGCACAAGCAGGGGGAGCAGCAGACAGAGAGGGAGAAGCAGGCTCCCCGCTGAGCAGGGAGCCTGATGCAGGACTCAATCCCAGAACCCTGGGATCATGACCTGAGCCGAAGGCTGAGCTTAACTAGCTGAGCCATCCAGGCACCCCAATGCACCAGTTTTAAATTCTGATACAGTCTAATTTATGTTTTCTTTTGTTGCCTGGGCTTTTAACATCATGTCCAAGAAATGATCATCAAATTCAATGTCATGAGACTTTTCCCAGGTTTTCTTCTTACATTTAGGTCTTTGATACATTTTGAGTTAATCTTGTATATGGTGTAAGGCAGGAATCCAACCTTTTTCATGTGGATATACAATGTTCCCACTACTATTTATTGAAAAAACTCTCCTCTCCCCCTTTGAATTGTCTTGGCATTCCTATCAAAAATCATTTGACCATATATCCAAGGGTTTATTTCTGGGCTCTCAATTCTATTCCATTGATCTATGTGTCTGTCTTATGCCAGTACCACACCATTTTGACTACTACAGTTTCGTAATAAGTTTTAAAATCAAGAAGTGTAAGCCTTCCAACTTTGTTCTTTTTTTTTTTCAAAATTGTTTTGGCTATTCGGGGTCCCTCCCTTAAGATTCCATATGAACTTTAGGATGGATTTCTCTATCTCTGCAAAAATTCAGTTCGGATTTTGGCAGGGATTGTACTGAATCTGTAGATTGCTTTGGGTAATACTGACATCATAACGACATTAAGTTTTCCAACCTATGAACACAAGAGAACTTTCCCATGTTTGTCTCTTCTTCAATTTCTTTCAGCAACATTGTGTAGTATCTCATGTACAAGTCTTTCTCCTCCATGGTTAAGTTTATTCCTAAGTGTCTTATTTTTTTTGATGCTGTTGTAAAATGGAATTGTTTTTGTGTTGTGTATTTCAAAATTTTACATAAATTGTATCATTAAGTACTTATTATATTTTCACAACTTTTTTACTATTATAGTACACACATGCGTACTGAAAGTGTAACAATATGTACCAGGAGGACACTTAGCATCTGCAGGCTAGTCACTTCTGGAGAGGAAGAGGGTGGAATGGGATGGAATAAAGAAGGGATTTAGCTGTAACTATGAATTTTTTTCTTTTTTAATAAGAGACCTGTGTAGAATATTTGTACATTTGTTGTACTTTCCTCATTTGAAATATCTTATAATTTAAATTTTTGTAATTAAAATAATTCTGAAAATGTGGGGTATCTGAAGCATTAGTATAGTCATATAACTTTGCCAGTACTACTTCTGGGATCATTAACCTAGACAGTCATCTCTAGGACAATTAATTTTTTCTTGATGTGGCAGTGGGTGAAAACCAATAGTCACAGCTCTTCCCCTGAGACCCTAAAAGCAGAGGTTTCACACTATTAAAAACTTCATACCAATGAGCTTTTACTTAGTCTACACTATTCACCTTGCTCTTTTCAGTAAGACTCATGTCAAATGAAGCTCAGTCCAAATATGCTTAGAAAAAAAGTACACACTATCAGGAGTACTTGCTTTTCATTGGGTCTGATACTTCTGATAGCAGCAAAGCCAATAAATGGGGGTAGTAGTTATTGATACTATATATCAAGGTGGGTATTTTTCAGGGAAATTTTTAATGGAATAATTTTGATGTGTTTTTTTAAACAGCCCTACTGTTCTCATGAGCTAAAAAGTAAAGCAAGAGGTAATTCTACAGGAAAAAGTCAAAGGCACCACTTGAGCTGATGGTCTTTAGTTTTTCAACATGGAATCTGAAACAAGCACAAAGAAATAACAGCTCTAAGAAGTAATCTGAGCAGTTTTCTTATTAAGGCAAGGCACTGCTTAGAAAAACACTGTATTAGAGGATCAGATGAACAGTAACACTTCAGGGTGACTCAGTATAGAACTGAAAATTATGCTAAGTCTACATTTTTGTAAAGTTAACCTTCCCCAAGGAAAATACAATACTATAATATTTATACTCTTCACTTCAATACATATAATTTGCTATTCAACCTGATGTACACTTAAGTTTCCATTTATAAAGCTACTTTTTTAAATGATCATATGGAAAGGAGGAATGTAAAGAATCACGTAAGTCAATCACAAAACACACCATAAGACATTTGTTTAACTACACCGTAGTTTTCATTTTAAGAGAGTTGACTGAAATACCTTTTAGGAACAAATGCTTTAGCAATTTTGGCATATAGAATGAATCACAAAATTTAAAGACAACCAATGAGACTACCCTTAATTCATGAATTAATCTCATTTACTTGTGACTGACTACCACATAAGAATGTCAGCTTCTCCAGTGTAACAGCCTAGCACTTAACTAGCACACAGTAGGTATGTAATAAGGATATGCTGCAGAAATGAATACTCCGTAACTCTTGACTTGTGGTATTTTCTATCAGGAAACTGCCACCAGAGGGTGCCTGGCTGGCTCAAGTTGGTAGAGTACAGGAGTCTGCACCTGGGGGTGGGGAATTTGAGCCCCACACTGAGGGTACAGTTTGTGTAAAAACAAACAAACGAAACTACCACCATATACCTCAGCCTCACCAGGTTTTATTTCAGTGAAATTATATTATTTTAATTTTCATATCCTGTTCAAATCTTTCGATTTTTCCACACAACAAAATGACTTTTCATTACAACTTAGCCACAAGAAGAGATATGTAGATTAATAAAATATTCACTGTACTAACTACATAGCAGTTTCTGTGGGTTCATGCTAAAAGCAAAAAAGGACACAAGCTAACCTTTCATGGTATTTTTTCTGGCAATCTCAAATCACAGTATTTAAACATATCATTCATACCACAGTATAAACACTAAATCTTAATGTAACATTGTTCAGTATAGACTGGAATTAAACTAAAGCAGTTCTATCATGGGTACTATCCAAGGGGTTTAAGTTCCTTTGAAACAAAAGGAATGTCACCACAAGGTAAATTTAGCCTCAAGAATGTCTCACACAACATGAAGTCTCAAGAAAATGTTATATAGGCTTCAGATTACTTGTTTTAAAAAGAATGATTACCTACCACAGCTATCATATGTTTGGAATTATACTTAAAGATGCTCTTCTCTGTGACAAAAACAAAAGTATTACTTCTCAATAACAAAAGGAAAATGAATCAGGTGTCAGGAAGTGGGTTTAGAATGTGCCTAAATCTCAGGATATATTTCCTAATTAACGTGAGATAATAAAAACTGCCATTTACATTCAGCTTCCTAAAGAAGATGAAACAAATACATAGCTATGTTACAGATTCAAAAGATGACAGTCGCTGAATAGGTTAAAAATTGCTTTAAATATTCACAGATAATTTCAAGATTGCCAAAAAATAATGAAGAAATGAAACTCACAGAGAATGTTGGCCCACTGTTTGATGCTATGACAGTATGAACTTCATCATGCAATTTTATTGACAGCTCCCAGTTAGCCACTTGTGGTTTAATAATAGGCACTCTGAAGAAGAAAAAAAAAGACTGTGCTTCAGAACATTATTTTAAAAGGTTCTATCCTTGGAAAAAAGCTTTCAGATTTAAACTAGAGCAAGTGAGAACAAACAAAAAACACACATTCATTCCGAGGACAACAGCAATCATTTTGGGATAACGGTGGTACCTCCATCTACTCAAAGTACCATCATCTCTTCTACGAATTTGAGTTGCTTAATTGTGACAGTCTTTCAAAGATTAACTTTATACGATATTAATTTCTTTTCAATATTTGGTTACTGTTTCAGACAGTTTTAAAAATTTACAATGTTAGTCTCTTATTTTTCTGGGTTTATTGAGTTATACTTGGTATCCAAAAAAGACTGCAGATAATTAACATACAATTTAGTGAGTTTGGACATAGTTATTCACTTGTGTTTCCATCACCATAATTAAAGTAATAAACATATCCATCACCTCCAAAGGTTTCCCTGTATTCTTTCATTTTGTTCTGGTTTTTGTTTGTTTGTTTGGGTAAGAATGCAACATCAGTGATGCTAGTCTTAACACACAGGTCTTTTCTTGCCAATGATCCACATTACATGGTCCATAAAAACTGGGTCAAACAGCCAGAGACAAAAACATTTTTAGAATATAAATATTTTTCACTTTTTAAAGTAACAAAATTTTAACAATTTCTAAATTAACCTAATTTCAATACTGAGTGTCTTCATTATTTATAGTTGTAAAGTAGCATTTACGAAGCACTAAATAGGTAGTATCCCAACTCTTGTCTTAAGTCACAGCTCTGAAAAAATGTTGCAGGTTATGCTTTAACATAAACCCCCTCCCCCAAACTTCAAAAGGATTCTCTGTGCATTCTACTAAAAAAAATTCAGTCACAAAAACTATGACTATAATCAAATCATCTCTAGACACAATGCCTAATGGAGGATGATGGATAATTTAGGCGAACATTTGTATTCGGCCCACTGTTTATTTTCTGAAGATGAAGAAATGGTTTAAATACTACAGAAGTGAAAATTAAAGAAAAGTTTAAAAAATGCACCAACAAATCAATATTAATGCACAAGGCAGAGACATGGAGGATTCTCTGCTGGCAATTTAAAGAGGACGCTTTCAGAGGCCAGAGCTTCACACAGGAGGGCTTCAAAGGACAACAGGGAGGCATACAGGAGGCGGAGGAGAGGAGAGAGGAAAGGCAGGGCGCGGCAGAGTGTGTGCCAGCCCCACCTCTACTTTGGCACTCTCTTCCACGGGGCATCATTTGTCCGAGTGTGTTTCCCCCGCTGGCCTGTGAGCTCCTAAAAGACCAAGATCGTGCCTTACTTTTGTATCCCCAGGTCCCAGGGCAGGGTGGGGATAAAGGGCTGGGGGAGGGCAGTAGGAAGGAATTTGAGGAACACCTGCTATGTGCCGAGCACTGCGAAGGGGACACTGTGTTACCCAAGGGACAGAATGTGCTCCAAAAGGAGCATGGACCCCAAGCTCCTGGCTTACTACCTGGATGTTCTTGGACTATACAGACGACCTCACTAGCCTTCAGTCTGTTTATCTTCAAACAGGGTTAACACCTGACCTTTTCAGGGGTACTGTGATAACAGAAATAACCTGACAGCTAATATTACTGGCCACATTGCTTTCTTAAATCTTTGTTATCAAAATAATTATGTAACTCTCCTGCTCCAGATTGTTCCACGGTTTTCTACTTCACAGCAGGTTAAATCTTAACTAACTTAACTACCATTCAAGTTTCCTATAAATAAGGCCCCACTCTTTGTTATTTCCAGTTTTATTTCTGATTATTCTCTGACTTGTTTATCCAGTTGCGCCAAACCCTTAAAGTACTTCGCAAATCAAACCAAACTAAAACAAGCAGAACTAAGCACAGTGGTCACAAACTCAGGCTCTGGTGACTCGCAGAAGTGGATAAAAAACCCAGCCCTGCCATTAATTAGTTCTGACCTTGAGTCAACTGTTAGGTCTCAGTCTCCTTATGTATCAAATCAGAGATATGACAGCATCTGCATCATAGTGATGTGCTGAGGATTAAATTAAACAGTGCATATAAATGGTAACTTTTATTACTTTGATTAGTCCCAACCCTAGACCTACACTTGTTGCCCCTCTCCTCCATAACTGAAATCCTTTCATGGATTCCTTCTGCTCCGCAAACTAACAGATTTTTCAAGAATATCATCTCTCTCATAAACTGTTCCCTAATTATAGGCACTGATCATAGTACAAACCTTCATCATCTCCCTTCTGCTTAATCTATATTATATGCCTAGTATTTTTCACAACTCAGTAGCCCGGAGGAGGTAACTCTTTCCAGTAAACCTGGAGACCCTTTTTAGTTATGCAACAAGCCTGTTTCCAGAGGCGCTGGGAAGTTAATCCTGACATCCTGTTAGAACCCAGACTGCATTTTCCCACAGAAAGCAATCCTACAGATGGTGGCGAGATAGAGTTGCCATCCTTCAGAACCTATTTATTTTTCCATTGTTTTATTTTGATCCACATCTGTTTCATATATGTTATAACCTACCCCAAGAGGGACCTTGTGCAAAGAGCATAGGCTCTCTTGAGTTGAAATCCTGAGGTTTCATCTCAGCCCATTCTCTTACTACAATGTAGCAGGGACTCCGTTAGTCCTTTGGAACCGTAATTTCTACACCTGTGAAATAGAGCTAGCACAGCACTTGGGCGGGGGGGCGGTGACGGGAAATCTATTGCTCCTTCGGAGCACATAGCTCCTGGAATGGCACTTTTCAAACAGTATCTTTTTAGGTAACATGTTACGAGGATGTGGAAAAGAGGCTTCCCTGCGGAAGCAAGCCCATGAGATATGAGAAAAAATGGTCACACTGTGGAATCTCCTTATGAGTTCACTCTTCCACAAACACAACTTGGTAAGATCCCTTCTGGCTTTACCTAAGTTTGAAAGTCATTTTGTTTTGTTTTAAAATAAAATTGGATGGGTTTGGGTATATATGCCCAGGATAAAGATCCATAAGCTCTGCGGCACAAATAAACTATAAGTAAAGCTAGTAACACATACCAGCCTGAAAGTCCATGTGCTCTATTTCTGCAAAACCAGTGCAACTACAGTAATGATAATTACTCTGAAACGCTGATATGAATCCCACCAGCACAAACATGCTTATGATGGTACCAGTTACATTTTACAGTGATATTTTAAATTTTAGAAAAGTTACATTTATCCATTAAATCCAAAATAGTCTCAAAGATTTTTATAAACAACTCTCTGGAAAGGGAGAGAAGAGGTCCTGGAGTTTCACACAACTCACTAGAGTAACCGTACACAGAGAACAGCTTCTTTACTGAACTACATGCCGAAAGAGGTTGCCCTGTGATCACAAACTTCATCTGTGCAGCTTATTAGTTACTTGAAAAGCTGATATCATTTAAGTTAAGACTTCAAAAAACAAACAAACCCTTCAAAATCCAGGAAAAGGGAATTCACATAAACAGCTACTCACGAAGCAAGTCAAATAATAGCCCTTACTCAGACCTGTCCACTTTGATTATCATCAGCCAACCAGAATGAATATGTTCAATAAAACTGCATTTTTCTGTATTTTATAGTAAAAACGGTCAGCTGATTATCACAAATGTTACTTACTGCTAACACATTTAACTTACTAGAATATGTTACTCAAAGAAGTGTAAATAATACTAACCCAAATACACTGCTCTTACATGTCATGTTTTAAGGCAGATTTTATGTAAACTTCACTCACAGCATCTTTAGTTATCAAGGATCATAAGCATCTCAAAACCGTATTATGAAACACTCAAAAAAGCTGGTTTTCAACTGTGCCATTACCTATTTAAGAGTGAAATACTGAGTTAAAACAATGTTAGTGGTCAAAGAATCATTAAGCAATCCTTGATCATAACTTTCACAGTGGGTGGTCTGTAAAATGATCAAGAATAATATGCTGCATTCCATAGCCACAGAGGTCAGCTTCTGCATACAAATCTTTGCAGGAAGAAAAAGGCCTTCAGAAAAGTGGGCCATTCATCTGAACCAAGTTCAGAGAATTTCCAGCATGGTGAAAAGATATGTTATGCAAGCACATAGATGTATTCAGTGGGGGTAGATGGAACCAGCTACATGGCGACTACAAAGGAGCCCTCCCATGGTTCATGAATAAGTCGAGGAAATGATCAGAAAAAAAAAAAAAAAGAGAGAGAGAGATGTTTAGACAGATGGCCCACTTAAAATGCCTGAGACAGGGCATAGCAATTTTAATGAAACTTTAGATCTAGCATATGAATTGTTTATTTCCTCCAGGAAAAAAAAAAAACTAAAAACAAAAATTCAGCAATTTGCTGAAAAACTCACTTTTAGCAAGTTGGGATAGAAGAAGAATTTACAAATACAAGTTTTATTAGTTCATAAATTCATATAAAATTCTTCACAGAGCCATCAGCTATCAAAATGAATATAAAAAGCATGGAATGAACAGATTAAAGGAATTTTAAACAGAAGTCTACTTGGTGCCAAAGCAAACAAAAATCTAAGCCTTATTATGTGAGAACTTACAACACTCCAACATTAAAGTTCATCACTGCAGAAGAAAGATAAAAGCAGCATTTTCAGAGAACCTCTTCAAAGCTAGAAATTGTCATAGTAGAGGAATAGAATCCTGCCTATATGCAATTTAAAATGTGTACATTCAAATAGAGGAGGCTGTGTAAAGAGTGTGTATCACAAAATACTGCCTAGAAAGGGTTATGGAACACCCCCAAGTTTGATTCATTAGCATTACAAATAGTAACACAAATGACACCTGAATCAGGAAACGAATACTAATGTTACTTATAATCTTATGGATTTTAATATTATGCAAACCCTATTTCTTCTGCCACCAATAAAGGCTTCAGGTTCTCAATTTAAACACCAGGCATGACTAGTCAGGAAAGGTGATGGAGTTTAGCCACCACCCCTGCAAGTCCTGGGGTTGGACTGACCACCAA